CAATAGCATAATGATTAAAAAGAGCAAGCTCACAGAGGATCCATACTATATAAATTCATTTATATAAATTGCGAAGACAGACGAAACTAAATGGTAAATCATTTAGGAATACAAGCTTTTCTATTGCAACTATAAAGAAGAATAAACAGTTAAGTAAAAATTCAGAAAACTGGTTCTTTTTCATAGGGTTGAAAGATGTTATGATGGAGGCATAACATCTTGGCATCATTCTAATTCTTAAGCTGGGTAATGGGTAGATGAGTGACCATGTTATTATTGTTTATTATTATTATTGTACATACATGTTGTACGCACTCTTTTGAATTTTGATAGGTTTTAAAATAGAAAAAAGTAAAAACAAACAAACAGCAATTTCTGAGCTGGGCATGGTAGTATCTGCCTGCTACTCAAGAGCCAAGGCAAGAGGATCACTTGAGCTGAGAAGTTCAAAACTAGCCTGGGTAACATAGCAAGACCTGGTCACTTAAAAAAAAAATTATTTAATAAACATGAAGCAATTTCTCTGGGATCAGGTTGCCTGGATTCAAATTCTACATCCACCTCTTATTAGCTAGGTGATTGTTGAAATCCTAACCCCCAACATGATGGTAGGAAGTAGGGCTTTGAGTGGTAATTAGGTTATGAAGAAGCAGCCCTGAATGAGATTAGTGCACTTATGAAAGTGATTCTAGAGAGCTGTCTTGCATTTTTTCTGCCATGTGAGGATACAAGGAGAAGTCAGCGCTCTGAAACCTGGAAGAGGACCCTCACCAGAACTCAACCATGCTGGCACCCTGATTTTAGACTTCCAACCTCTAACACTGTAAAAAATTACTTTCTGTTATTTATAAGCCACTCAATCTATAGTATTTGTTACAGCAGCCCAAACTCATTAGGACAGTGACCTTGGGCAAATTGCTTTACCTCTGTGTGTTACAGTTTGTTCACCTTGAACATGTTGACACTAATTGTACCATTATTTTGAGGATTAAATGAGATATATATAAAGTATTCAGAAAATAGCCAAGTACACCAAAAGTATGTAGTAGTAATAATAGTACATAATATATAATAATGTTTAATAACAAAGTTTGTAGAAACTTGAATATGCCACTAAGACTAAAATTTCATTAGAAATACTCAAAAATAAAGTGAGAGACTTCAGAACATAGAAGAAAAGCTAAAGATGTAAAATAAAAGAGAATATAAGAAACAGAGAAATAATTGAGAATATTCAATATCTGACAAGCATAAGTTTCAGAAGGAAATAACAAGATTAAACTTAGGGATACAACTATTAAGAAAATGATAGTAGAAATGGGCCAGGTACAGTGGCTCACACCTGTAATCCCAGCACTTTGGGAGGCTGATGCAGGTAGAACACTTAAGGCCAGGAGTTCAAGACCAGCCTAGCCAATACGGTGAAACCCCAACTCTATTTAAAAAAAAAAAAAAAATCAAAAAAAAAAAATTTGCTGGATGTGGTGGTGTGCACCTATAGTCCTACCTACTCAGGAGGCTGAGTCGGGAAAATCGTTTGAACCCAGGAGGCAGAGGTTGCAGTGAGCAAGATTGCAGATTGCACCACTGCACTCCAGCCTGGGCAACAAAGTGAGATCTGTCTCAAAATAATAATAATAATAATAATAATAATAATAGAAGAAATGAAGTAATCCCAGAGATAAAAAGGTATAAATTGTTAGAATACACAAGTACATTGAGTGTTCAGCAAAATGAATGAAAAAATTATAATACTATTATGAAATTCAAGACATCTAAAAAGAAGAGAGAAAATTCTGAGGGAAGGAGACACAAAAAATTCTTTTCTCTACAGAAATATGGAAAGAGAGAGAGAGAGAGATGGGGGTATAAAAAATCAAGAATCACACTGGCATAAAATTTTTAATCAAAAATTATGAATCAATAATCAATATATTAATGATTTTAAATTTCCAAGCAATAATTCTGTATCTGACAAAATAATCAATTAAATATGAAGGAAAACTAAATGCATTTTCAGACTGGCAGCGATGCAGAAAGTTGTTTTTTTGTGAACCCTCCCTTAGGAAGACATTTCAGGATATATTGTAGCAAAGAGAGGGAATAAAAAGGGAGACAAGTGATCTGACTCAACCAGGAGAGGTATGAAGACAAGATGACAGTTTTGTACAGACTTAGAGATCATTTAGTCCAGATGGAAGCAGAAAGCTAGAGGACTTCAGGTTAGGAAATATGGTAAAGTGAATTATTGATTGAGATTTTGAAAATATGGTAAAGCCAACTAATGAAGTCTAAAATGATGAATCTATTTGGTCTTGATTTTAGGAACATACTGTTTTCAGTGGTACAGGAAGCACAACATTGGATCCAAAGAGCAGGAAAGATAGTCCCTATCACTAAAAAATAAAGTGAGAGACATCAGGACATAGAAGAAAAGCTAAAAATGTAAAATAAAGGAAACATAAGGAACAGAAAAATAACTAAGAATATTCAATATCTTTTTTTGTTTGTTTTTTAAAATTTTCATTAAGAATATTTAATAATGGACAAGCACAAATCTCAGATGGGAATAACAAGATTAAACTTAGGGATACACTATTAAGAAAATAATAGTAGAAATGAAGTAATTTCAGATCTAAGATTACTTATATCCCTAAGTAATCCCAGACTACTTAGAGGTTTCAGTAAGTAATATGGCTCAGCAATGAACAATATTTTGAGAAGATAATCAGCCCAACAACCTGGAACTGTTCTGACACTCATAGGTCGGCCATAATCTTCTCCTATTGAATGCAAACAATTTCATACAACACCAAGACCAGAAAATAACCTTGTAACCCTGATGGAGCAAGACTTCATGCTTGAGGAGATAATGTCTAAAACAAAAAAGAAAAAACAAAAGAGCTCTTTTTCCTTGCTAGTATGAGCGAATGCTGCTTATTTACCAATTACAGATTTAATTACAGTGTTTTTCCCACTTCCTAAGTGAAATTCATTAAAATAATACAGAATTATCCCAATTTTCTGAAAGCATCCAATCCAGAGCTAACCTGTACTTGTTGAATCTCTGTTAAAAACACCTAACAGAAGACCAAATCCTATAACTCCTTTGTAAGACGCTGTTACTAAAGTGGCCCCTGTTTCCTACTGTGAGCAGTCTCCTTCATTGCAACAAGTCAATAAACCCAACTTTGCTCTGATACGGTGTGTTCTTGGTAATTTGGGACTGCAGGGCATTCATAATTTATATAGTCATGAAAAGTAAATTTTAAATATTATCTTCATGTTCTAAAATATATCTATAGGCAAGACAAGTAATTCTTAGCTATGATTGTAAAAATGTAAAATGTAAAAGTAGAAGTTAACTGAGAGAGGTTGGAAAGTGTAAGAGAGAAACAGATATAAAAGGAAGAATAAGAATGATATTCTTTTTTTCCATACAAAAATCTAATGAAACTGTTATTACTGGAACAATAAAGAGAGGTTTCAGTTTGACCAGAGAAGTACCCAAAAATGGTAATATAGCTTTATCTGAAAAACAAAAGATTGAAGTTGTTTTAAGTGTGCTAGTTACTCAGCAATCTTAATAGGAAATTGTCTAAAGTTTGTGAAAGTTACTACATTAGTTTGCGAGGGGTGCTGTAACAAATACCACAGACTGGGTGGCTTAAACAACAGACATTTCTTTCCTCACAGTTCTGGAATCTAGAAGTCCAAGATCAAAGTGTTGGCAGGGTTGGTTTCATTTGGAGGCCTCTCTCTTTGGCTTGTAGATGGCTATCTTCTTCTAGTGTCTTCACATAAGCATCCCTCTGTGTGTTCACATGTCTGGCATCTCTTTATGTTCTAATCTCCTCGTCTTATAAGTACAGCAGTTATATCGGATTAAGATCTGCCCTGATGACCCATTTTAATGTGATTACCTCTTTTTTTAAAGGCCTACCTTTAAATATAGTCACATTCTGAGGTAGTGGGAGTTAGGGTTTCAACGTATGAATTCGAGGGGGATTTGGGAGCACAGTTCAGCTCATAATGGTTACAAACATATTCCTTAGTGATAAGAAAGTAAATATAAGAAGAGCTTTTAAAAATGTATAAAGTGCTTGCCAATGGGATAAAATGAAAAAAACAGACAATACTAGTTTGTTGGCAGAAATGAGGAAAAATTTGTACATCCAGATACTGGGGATAGCAGTGTAAATTAGTACAACCACTGGAAGACTATTGGGAAATGTCTACTAAAAGTAAACATGTACTTACAAGATGGGCAACAATTCCACTTCTAGGCATATACCCAACAAAACTGCATATACAGGTTGCCAAAAGGCATGTTAAAATAATGGTTATAGCAGTATAATTCGTAACAGCCAAACTTTGCCCTATCCCAAATACTGATCTAAAGGATAGAAAATAAATTGTAGTATATTCATACAGTGGAATGTTATACAGCAATGAGAATGAAAGGACTAAACTTAAAAGCTGTATTATGGATAAATTTCATAAATGTAATGCTGAGTGAAAAAAGCCAGACACAAGCAGTTCATACTCTATTACTCTGTTTATATAAATTATAGTATAGGAAGTCAGCATATTTGCCATACTTGGGCTAGCAGTGATTGTAAGGAGTAATTTGTGTGGCACCTGGGGTGCCAGTGATGTTTCATTTTCTCTTCAAGTTGCTGGTACTAAATATGTTACTTTGTGAATATATATTGAGTTGAGCATAAAGGATTTGTTCACTTTTCTTCATGTAAGTAATAATTCAATTAAACTGTTTTTCAAAAGTTTGCTAATAGGAATCAGGGCTGCAAAAAAGAGTAAATAGAGGATTGCTGCCTTTTACATATTTTTTCACATATTTGTTACATATGTATGTATTTGTCTTTGTTTTAAACAATTAAAATACAATGATTTGAAACATTTTTAATTTTTGCATTTTAGCATCAAATATATAATACTTAAGAGTGTCATGAAATAGAATGGATAGAATATATAGAAAATAAAATTAATATTTGATTTTATTAAGATGGTTTATCACAACAAGTACCAACAAGAAGAGAAAAATATCTCAGGAAAATCAACAGCATGCATGGATTTGGAATGACCCTATGTAAATAAATGCAATGAAATAAAATTGAGTTTTCAATACTTGGACAGAATAAAGTTCAGCAGACAAATCCATTAAAAAGGGAAATAAAAGCTAAATCTCAAGGTGAAATTTTTGTCCATGACACTCTCGAATTCTAGATCTGAAAAAGTTTGGGATAAATGGCAGAAAACAATGTGTCATAACGAGATCTCTAATTTAATCCAAAGTTATTCCGGAAGGCGGCAGTTTTCCCTATTTCTTCACCAGTGCCCTGGGGCAAAAGCTTAGGAATAATAGGCTTCAGGAACTTGAACTCGCCGGTCCCTGAGTCTCCGGTCAGACACACCTCGTACTGGTAGCTCTGGGACAGGGTCCCGGTGCCGCTTACGTCCACCAGATGCCCTGGAAAGGGGCCCTCGGGCACCGAGCAGCGACCCACTAAGGCCTCCCTGCTCCTCCTGCACAGCCGCACCGCCACGAACAGGAGCACCGACAAAAGGAAGAGCGACGACACCGAGGCCAATGCCACCACCAGGTAGACGGTGAGCCAGTCGGCCTCGGCCTGGGCCGGGGCCGCCTCCGGGAGCGGCAGGTAGGGCTGGGAGAAGCCATCCACCAGGAGCACGTGCAGCGTGGCAGTGGCCGAGCGCGGAGGCTCGCCATTGTCCTTGACCAGCACCACCAGCCTGTGCTTGGCCGCGTCGCGCTCGTTCAGCAGCCTGGCAGTGTGCACCTCGCCATTGTGCGCCCACACACCGAACAGCCCGGGCTCCGTGGCCTTGAGCAGCTGGTACGACAGCCAGGCGTTCTGGCCCGAGTCGCCGTCCACCGCCACCACCTTGGTCACCAGGTAGCCCGGCTCGGCCGCCCGGGGCACCAGCTCGGTGCAGGGCGCGGAGCCGTTTTGCAGCGGGTACAGCACGAAGGGCGAGTTGTCGTTGGCGTCCAACACCAGCACGCGCACCAGCGCCTCGCTGCTCAGCTTCGGGGAGCCGCGGTCTGTGGCGCCCACGCGGAACTCGAAGGCCTGCAGGGCCTCATAGTCCAGCGACCTGAGGGCGAACAGGTGGCCGTTGTCTGCGTTGATGGAGACCAGGGAGACGAGGGGCAGGTGAGGGTCCGGGGGCGGCAGTAGCGAGTAGGTGACCAGGGCGTTGGTACCTGAATCTCTGTCTGTGGCGCTGACACTGCCGATGTGCAGGGCGGGGCTGTTGTTCTCACGGACGAAGAGGGTGTAGGAGGTTTGGGTGAAGGCGGGGGCGTTGTCATTGACGTCGGAAACCAGCAAGGTTATGTTGTGCTCGGTTTTCAGCCTGGGTGTCCCCAAGTCGGTGACGGTGATAGTGATGTTGTACTCGGCTTGGCTTTCTCTGTCCAGTGTTCTCTGTGTCACTAGGGTGTAAAAGTTTTTTAATGTGGGCTTCAAAAGAAAGGGGAGATCATTCTGAATGGAACAAATCATCCTACCGTTGTCCCCGGAGTCTGGATCAGAAACACTGAAAACAGCAACTATAGTTTCTGGGGCATTTTCTGGGGTAGGGCTGGAGAGCGTCGACATGGTGAGTTCAGGGGCGTTGTCATTCACATCCACCACTTCTATAGCCACAGTGCATTTTCCTGAAAGGCCCCCACCATCTGTGGCTACAATTTCCACGTTATAATATGGAGTTGCCTCGAAATCCAATGCCCTTTTCAGGCGAATTTCTCCTGTTTTTTCGTCTATTGCAAATGGTTGAGTAACTTCATCGCCTTGGAATAGAGCGTAGGCTACACTTCCGTACGCTCCTGCATCTAAATCTCGGGCGGAGACAGCGACAACTAAGGAGTTAAGGGGGCTGTTCTCGGGCACCTGTACCTCATAGAGTGATTGCAAAAATTCAGGGGGGTTGTCATTATTGTCCAAGACGACAATGCGAACTGTGGTGGTCCCAGACCTGGGCGAAGCACCACCATCCAGTGCAGTGAGTGTTAAGCTGAGCTCAGGCCGCTCCTCCCGGTCCAGAGCTTTGTCCAGCACCAGCTCTGGGTATTTTCTGCCATCTCCGCGATTATGAGTAGCAACATGAAAGTGGGAATTTGTGCTGATTGTGTAGTTCTGAACAGTGTTGCTACCTATGTCAAAGTCCTGGGCTATTTTTAAAGGAAACACAGTCCCTGGCTGGGTGCTTTCTGGGATTTTTAGGAGCATTTCCCTCTCTGGGAACTCTGGAGAATGGTCATTAATATCTGTGAGCTGCAGATCAGTTTGAAAAAACTGCACTGGGTTTTCTAGTAAGAGTTGGAAATGCAATATACAGGGTTCTGTCGTCCCGCACATCACCTCCCTGTCTAGTTTTTCATATAGAAGCAAATTGCCGGTCTTTATATCAAGCTGCAAGAGCTCTTTGTCTCCTTTGTAATGGATTCGCGCGCTCCGAGTGGCCAGTTCCCCCACCCTAAGACCAAGGTCTTTTGCCAGGTTGGCCACAGAATAGCCACTTTCTGTTTCTTCTGGTATGGAATACCTAACTGCCTCAGAGCCAGCCTCCCACAAAAGCAACAGTATAGCAAGAAACATAACTTGCCTTTTCTGTGGCGTTTTTGCTAGCGCAGTCTCCATTGTTCAGAACCGGTCCAGAAGGCGCAGTTTCTTTAACTCTGTATACAATCCACCCAGATGATTTGCTTAAATAACCGCGAATCCGATCTTTCTTAACTGATTTCCACAAGAACGACGCCCATTCTGAAGATCTAGCCACTAGATCTTACCTAAAATGCGTCCTTCTTTTAGGAAGCATTCAGGCTTTGGATTTCTCAGCTTAATGGCGCCTGAGTTATCCGCAGAGCCCACTATCCACACTCTTAGCCTGCAGCGCCACCAGGCGTCCTAATTTACTATTGCATATAGTATTTGCCATTTCATCCTAAATTCTAACCCTGACGTGTATCCATACCCTTTTGTCCCATAAGCTCTCCCGGTGGTATCTCCAGCTCTTAGTTACTGAAAGTTCTAAATAAACGTTGTGGAGTTAATTTTCAGTGAGAGAATACTTTTGAGAAAAAACTAAAATTATATATTAATCTCCATAAAAGTACCCTTGAGTACACAAATATAACTTTATTTCGTGTTTCTTATTTGATTATATTAAATAAGTGATCATGAATAGCTATAGAGATTTAAAGTTTAAGAAAAATTACTTTCACTTTGAAGTAAACACCAATAACACCCAGAAAATGGCACAAATCATAGGTGTACAACTCAATGAATTTTGCAAAGTGAACGCACTCCTGTAAGTAGAACCTAGATCAAAAATACTACCCAAACCCAAGTCCCCACCTGCTATTGTCTGGTTACTGCCCTCTCCCCAAAAGATAAGGACTGTCCTGACTTCTGTTGTCATAGGTTTTTTTTTTTTTTAACTTTATACAAATGGAGTTATAGATTGTTACTCTCATGTGTCTGGCTTCTTCTCCTCAATATTATGTTTGTCAAATTGATCTGTGGCATCTTGTTCTTATTTGTTTTATTCTCATTGCTTTTTATTATTCTGTTGTATGAATATACTATGATTTGTTTATTCATTTTCCAGTTTATGAACGCTGTTTTTTCTTCCAGGTTTAAACTATTTTGGGTAGTACTGGTATAAACATCCTTGTACTAGTCTTTTGGTGACCACATGTATGTGTTTATGTTGAATATTTTCAAAGGAGTTGGATTGCTGTGCATTAAGGTGTGCACATATAAGTTGCTTTAGCAGATAATGGGAAAGTTTTCTCAAGTAGTTGTACTAATACCAGCAAAGTATGAGAGTTCCAGTTGCTCCACATTCTTGTCAACATTTGATGCTATCTTTTCCATTTTAAACCACTCTAGTTAGTGTTTGGTGATCTCATATTGTAATTTTAGTTAGCATTTTCCCCAGTGATTAAACAATTTGAGCACATTTTCCTGTTTATCGGCCATTAGGATACAATCCTGTAAAGGGCTTACACAAACCTTTTTACTTTTTTGGGGGGAGGCATTTGCCTGTTTGCTTATTGATCTGCAGAAGTTTCTCATATATTCTGGGTATAAGTCCTTTTTCAGATATATGTATTGCAAATATCTTTTCCCACTCTATGGTTTATATTTCAAGTCTATTATGTGTCTTTGATGAATACGATTTCTTCACTTTAGTCAGATTTGTCAATAATTTTCATTTACGATTAGCATTTTTTGTGTTCTATTTAAATGTTCACATACTCCAAGGTCATGAAAATATTCTTATATGATGTATTTTGAAAGATTAATTACTCCACTTTTCACATTTAGAGCTATAATCAACCTGAAATTAACTTTTCAAGTGAATGAGGTTGGAGTCAAAAATTTTAAAATATAAGTATCTGAATGCCTTAAACCTTTGCACCATCTATTTAAAAAACAATCCATTTTCCATTGTTTTTGAAATGTCATCTTTGTTATAAATTAGGTAACCATAGCTCTGAAGATGTTTTATTCAATCTTGTTTATCCTATAATAACTCATTGTGTTAATTATTATGGCTTTATCATGAGTTTTGTTATCTAAGAAGTAAGTTATCCAGTTTTTTAAAAGTAGACTTTAATTTTTAGAATGGTTTCAGGTTCACAGCAAAAATGAGAGTAAAGTACAGAGATTTCATACATACGCCTGTCCCCACACAAGCACAGCCTCACCCATTATCAACATCCTCCACCAGAGTGGTTCATTTGCTACAGCTGATGAATCTACATTGGCATGTCATTATAACCTGGAGTCCATAGTTTACATTAGGGCTCACTCTTGGTGCTGTATATTCTATGGCTTTGGACAAATTAAAAATGATGTGTATTCACCTTTATAGTGTCATACAAAGTAGTTTCACTGCCCTAAAAATCCCCTGTGCTACACTTATTTATACCTCCCTCCCTCCCCTAGAACCCAATGTAAATGGATTTTCTTACTCTCTCCACAGTGCTGCTTTTCCTAGAGCACCATGTAGTTGAAATCATACAGTATGTAGTCTTTTCAGACTGGCTTCTTTCACTTAGTAATATCCATTTAGATTTCCTCAATGTCTTTTCATGGGTTGGTAGCTCATTTCTTTTTGATGCTGAATAGTATTCTGCAGGTTGAATGAACTGCAGTTTGTTTATCCATTCACCTACTAACCGACATCTTGGTTGCCTCCAAGTTTTGGCAATTATGAATGAAACTGGTATAAATATCCATGTGCAGGTTTTTGTGTGAACATAAATTTTCAACTCCTTTGGGAAAATACTAAGGAACATGAGTGCTGGATAACATGGTAAGAGTATATTTTGTTTTGTATCAAGCTACCAAACTGTCTTCCAAAGTGTCTGTACCATTTTGCATTCCCACCAGCAATGAAAGAGCTCCTGTTGCTCTCATTACCAGCATTTGGCACTGTTAGTATCCTGGAGTTTGGTCTTTCTAATAGGTGTGTAGTCGTATTTAACTGTTATTTTAATTTACATTTCCCTGTTAATATATGAAATGGAGAATCTTTTCATTTGTTTATTTGCCACCTGTATATCTTCTTTGGTGAGGTGTCTGTTAAGGTCTTTGGCTCATTTTTAAATTGGGTTCTTGTTGCTGAGTTTCAGTCATTCTTTGCGTATTTTGAATAACAGTCCTTTATCAGATATGTCTTTTGCAAATATTTTCTCCTAGTTTATGTCTTGTCTTTTCATTCTCTTCATAGTATCTTTTGCAGAGCAGAAAGTTTTAATTTTAATGAAGTCCAGCTTATTAACTCTTGCTTCTATGGATCATGACTTTGGTGTAGTATCTCTAGTTTGGTTCCTTTTCGTCAAGGTTCCTTTGGTTATTACTGTTTTTGTATTTTCAAATAAACTTAACATTCAGCTCATTAATTTTCACAAAGAAAGCTGCTGACATTTTGTTTAAGATTTTATTGAATCTATAGAATGACTAAGGGAGAGCTGACATATTCCCAACACTGAGTCTTCCAACTAGTGAACATTGTATACTCCCGTAATTATTTAGATCTTCTTTAAGCTTTCTCAATATTTTAGTTTTCAATGTAGAAGTCTTATAAATATTCAACTAGATTTGTTTATAAATAGCTGCTATTTTTGAAATTATTGTGCATAATATTTAAATTTTTCACTTTTTTGTTGCTATATAGAAATAGAACTCATGTTTGTATGTTGACCTTGTATCCAGTGGCATTGTTAACTTCATTTGTTAATTCTAGTAGCCTGTAGATTCTTCATGGCTTTCAATGTATACAATCATGTCTACTTAAAAAGACATTTTTATTTTTTCCCCTAGAATCAGAGTGCCTTTTATTCCTTCTTTGCTTTATTCCGCTGTTTAGGACCTGTGATAGAATACTAAATTGGAGAAGAAAAGACAGGTATCCTTGTTTCATTGTTGATCTCCAGGGGAAAGTTTTTGAAAATTTGTCATTAATGATGTTTCCTGTAGGTTTTTAAAGTCACTCTGAAAGTTCCCTTTGATTTTAGTTTGCTAATAATTTTACCACTACTGTGTGTTGAATTTTGTTACATGATTTTTTCCTGTATCTGTTGAAATAATCATGTTTTTTTCTTTATCTTTTAATATGGTAAATTACAATGATCAATTTTCAAATATTAAACTGTCTCTGTATTCCTAAAATAAACTCCATTTTCCAATTATTATTTCTCTTTTATACATTTTAAATTTTTATTTGCTAATATTTTTAAAAATGAATTTTCCATATATATTTATAAAAAAGAACAGTTGGTAATTTTTGTTTCTTATAATATCCTATTCAGGTTTGAATGTTATAACCTGTTCAGATTTATGCTGGCACCCAAATGATTTGGAAAATGTTGTCTATTTTTCTACTCTCTGAAGGAGTTTGTACAAATTAGTGATAATTTTGACATAAGTATTTGGGAGAATTCAGTTCTGTGAATTAGAGTGGGAAGGTTTTTAATGAACAACTTTCATTAATATAATAGATATGACTAATCAGATCTTAATTTTGTCCTGTTTTTAAAGGATGGTTTCTGTTTTACATAAATTGTCAAGTTTGTTGGCATAAAATTGTTCATAATATTTCCTTTTTATATTTTAAATGTCTGTAGGTTGGTAGTTTTTTTGTTTGTTTGTTTTGTTTTGTTCTTTTTTTGAGACGGAGTCTCGCTCTGTCGCCCAGGCTGGTGGGCAGTGGCGCGATCTCCGCTCACTGCAAGCTCTGCCTCCCGGGTTCACGCCATTCTCCTGCCTCAGCCTCCCGAGTAGCTGGGACTACAGGCGCCCACCATCACGCCGGGCTAATTTTTTGTATTTTTAGTAGACACGGGGTTTCACCATGTTGACCAGGCTGGTTTCAAATTCCTGACGTCGTGATCCGCCCGTCTCTGCCTCCTGAACTGCTGGGATTACAGGTGTGAGCCACTGTGCCCGGCCTCAATTCTTTTTTAAATATTTGAGGCTTCATTCATGACAAAGAACATGAACAATTTTTATATATCCCACAAGCATGTAAGAAGAATGTGTATGCTCCAGTGTGCTATGTATGTCAATTTATTTGAATATGATGTTCGTGTGGTTCGGATCTTCAATATTTTTTGTATGTATGTGTTTTTTCTTCTTATTCTAATAGGAATTGAGAGAGTTGTATTAAATCTCCCAGTGTAACTGGGTTTGTCTACTTTGTATTCTGTCAACTTTAAATATTTTGTAGTTATCTAATTGGGATGTATTCAGGCTTAAAACTAACATATTTCTGGTATATTTACCTCTAAAACTTCTCTTTATCTCTAGTAATGTATCTTTCCTTAAAGTCTCTTTTCTCTTACATAAGTATACCTACCTAGATTTATTTTGGTTAGTGTTTATATAACTATATACCTTATCCAATTCTTTAAATCTTCACTCTTTCTGTGTTCACACACACACACTTATTTGAGAGCACAGAGTTGAGTTTTTCTTTAGTCTGACAATTTTTGTTGTTTAATTGGATTATTTAATCCAAATAAAATTAATATAATATCTGATCTCTTTCCATTCATACTTCCATCTAATTATTTTTCTATTTGTCACTAAAGTTTAATTTTTCTTTTGGATTATTCAAATATTTTTAATTTTTCTTTCTTCAATTACTGTTTTATTACTTTGAGGGTTAGCCAAGAAATTACAGCATGCAACTTCAATATACAAGAATCTAATACACATTATTAATTTTACTACTTGCATGATAATGCTTACAGTCTTAACACTTTTTAACTCTATTTATACCTTTGCCTTTTACATTATTGTTATAAATTTAAATTTTATATATAATTTAAATCCTTTAAGAAATTAGTATTAATATTATTGCCTTGTATAATCAATATTCAATCAACATTCATTTACATTGACCTTTCTTATTGCTCTTCATTTATTCCTGCAATTCTGTGATTTCTTTTGGATTGTTTTCCTTCTGTCTAATGCATTTCATTAAAAGTATTTCTTGGCCAGATGCAGTAGCTCACACCTGTAATCCCAACACCTTCAGAGGCCAAGGTGGGCAGATCCCTTGAGGTCAGGAGTTTAAGACCAGCCGGGCTAACATGGTGAAACCCTGTCTCTACTAAAAATAGAAAAATTGGCCAGGTGTGGCGGCACATGTCTGTAATCCCAGCTACTCAGGAGGCTGAGATGGGGAGAACAGCTTGAACCCAGGAGGTGGAGATTGCAGTGAGCCGAGATTGTGCCACTGCACTCCAGTCTGGGCAACAGAGTGAGACTCTGTCTCAAAAAAAAAAAAACAAAAAAAAGTATTTCTTTTCATGCAGGTATGACTGTCGTTAATTCTTAATTTTTGTCTGAAAACTGCATTCATTTTTGAAGGATATGTTTGCTGGCAATAGAATTCTAGCCTGGTAGTAATTTTCTTTCAGGACTTTAAAGATGTCATTCCTTTGTCTTTTGATTTCCTGATTTATGTTGAAAAGTCAACTCTCCATTTTACTGATGCTCCTTTAACAGGAATGTATTATTTCTTATATGATTGGTTTTAAAATTATCTCTTTGACTTTGGTCTTGAGAAGCTCTCCTATGATATGCCTAAGTGGGCTTTGTTTTTATTTAGCCTGTTATTATTTATTTCTTGAATATCTTGAAAGATTAAGGATTTTCACCAACTTTGGAAAATTCTTTATCATTATCTCTTCAAATATTGCTTATTCCTCATTCTTGTTGTCTCTTTTAGTATGTTAGCATTTTTAAAAATTACATTCCATATATCACTAATGTTCTTTTCTGTATTTTTTATTATTTTATTCTTTGTGCTTACATTTGGATGTTAATATTGAATTGACTTGCATCCACTAATCCTGTATTCTTTTATGACTATGACATTAAACCATTTAAATAGTTTTAATTTCAGATAATATAATTTTTCAGTTCTAGAACTAACTTCCACTTTTAAAGTTCAATTCTCCAGTGAAATTATCTCTTTATTTTCTCTATTGTTCTTTATTTTTAACATATTAGTCTTACTTATTTTAACATCATTCAGTTAATTTTAATATCTGAATCATCTATGGGTAATTTTTTAGTCTGTTTTTTGTTCCTTTGGTTTTATTCATGTTATCCAGTTTTTGGTGTGTGTATCTAGGAATTTTTTATTGAATGCTGAATATTTACATAAAAAGCTATCCAAGGTTAAGATACTATCTTCCGGCCGGGCGCGGTGGCTCAAGCCTGTAATCCCAGCACTTTGGGAGGCCAAGACGGGCGGATCACGAGGTCAGGAGATCGAGACCATCCTGGCTAACACGGTGAAACCCCGTCTCTACTAAAAAAATACAAAAAACTAGCCGGGCGAGGTGGCGGGTGCCTGTAGTCCCAGCTACTCGGGAGGCTGAGGCAGGAGAATGGCGTGAACCCGGGAGGCGGAGCTTGCAGTGAGCTGAGATCCAGCCACTGCCCACCAGCCTGGGCGACAGAGCGAGACTCCGTCTCAAAAAAATTAAAAAAAAAAAAAAGATACTATCTTCCTCCAACAAGAGTTCACCTTTTCCTCTGTTAACTTGATAGAGTTCTGTCTAAACAAATCATCTCAACTGAAACAGGCACTGGGTTTTGTCAAGGTTCCGGCTCTCCAGAATTTTCAGCTGAGAACTTGGTATATTCTCCACAGCCCCTTCCCATGGCAGGTCCTAAACTCTAATGTTTCTGTAACAAGACTATTAAAAGTTCACTTTGCTTTTCAGAAATTTTCCAATTAGGTTTTTAGTTTTTTTCCCTGGGCTTCCCTGAGTTTGACAAGTGTCCCGAGGGGAAAATTTGGCCATGAACTTGAATCTTCCAGTGGACCCCAAGTTACTCTGTCTCTGACAAAAGCTTTTTGTTTGTTCTCAGACTTAGCATATTTCCTCAGGGTAAAACTCCTATCAGGAATCAGTTTTCACCTCCAAGAATTTTCCTTCTCAGGCATCTTGGCCCATTCAGATCTTATTATATTGTCTGTTTTCAGTTACTTCAAACAGATAATTTTACATTTTAACGAATTTTTAGAGTTGCTTTCTGCTGCTAGATAATCCATCTACTCTTGGCCGGGCGTGGTGCTCAAGCCTGTAATTCCAGCACTTTGGGAGGCCGAGACGGGTCACGAGGTCAGGAGATCGAGACCATCCTGGCTAACACGGTGAAACCCCGTCTCTACTAAAAAATATAAAAAACTAGCCGGGCGATGTGGCGGACGCCTGTAGTCCCAGCTACTCGGGAGGCTGAGGCAGGCGGAGCTTGCAGTGAGCTGAGATCCGGCCACTGCACTCCAGCCTGGGCGACAGAGCAAGACTCCGTCTCAAAAAAAAAAAAAAAAAAAAAAAAGATAATCCATCTACTCTGGAAGCAGAATTTCACCAAATATATGCATAAGTTTTAACCTTAGACTATTTAAAATATATTTTGTAACTTTTGATAGTAAAAGAAGAGGGGATGATTTTGTTTTTGTTTTGTTTCGTTTTGTTTTGTTTTGAGACAGGGTCTTGCTGGGTCTCCCAGGCTGGAGTGCAGTGGCATGATCGTAGCTCACTACAGCCTCAAACTCTTAGGCTCAAGTGATCTTCCTGCCTCAGCCTCCCAAGTAGCTGGGACTACAGATGTGTCCATGACCAGCTAACTTTTTGTTGTGGTTGTTGAAACAGGGTTCTCGGCCGGGCGCGGTGGCTCACGCCTGTAATCCTAGCACTTTGGGAGGCCGAGGCGGGCGGATCACGAGGTCAGGAGATCGAGACCATCCTGGCCGACACGGTGAAACCCCATCTCTAGTTAAAAAAAAAAAATACAAAAAATTAGCCGGGCATGGTGGCAGGTGCCTGTAGTCCCAGCTACTTGGGACGCTGAGGCAGGGGAGTGGCGTGAATCCGGGAGGTGGAGCTTGCAGTGAGCAGAGATCGCTGGTCTCAAACTCCTGGCCTCAAGCGATCCTCCCCACTTGGTCTCCCAAACTGCTGGGATTACAGGCATGAGCCACCATACCCAGCCAAGGAGAGGGGATTCTAAATTGAGATGGGCTACATTGCCTTCAGAATTTCTGTCTCCAAAACAGCGTGTGTTAAATTCACTATATGCTGTGCCTAAAAATAACAATAGCAGAGGAACTGTAAAAGATGCATATATAATAGATTAATTTGAGAAAATACCTGTTGGAATGGGTGTTATTATCAAGATTCTTGGCCTCCATTCTCTAATTTTATTCTGTGACAAGAGAACTGGCCTATTTTCATAAGGTATGCATGTTGTGAAAGTTATTTGGATCATGTTTACAACTAAATTCTAATAATTGAATTGTTAAATGTTGATCTATACTACACCAAAGTCTGGTAGTAGCCCCTAGGTGGTAAGAAATAATTCATGCTTTATGAATACATCCAAGGATGATGTGGGTTTGGGGTGTTTATTTGAACAGTCTCATTTGGGTGATTATATAAATTGGACTTACCCTGCATAAACAACAACAAAAAAAGATTTTGGACTTTCATCATGTCAATATATAGTTGGTGAAAACTTCAACCAGATTTCTTACTTGTCATAAATAATCATAAATAAAAGCTATGTCATTCCTTTTTTTTTTTTTTTTTTTTTTTTTTTTGAGACAGAGTCTCACTCTGTCGCCCAGGCTGGAGTGCAGTGGTATGATCTCTGTGGCTGGAGGTGCAGCTCACCACAACCTCCACCTCCTGGGTTCAAGGAATTCTCCTGCTTCAACCACTCCTCTAGCTGGGATTACAGGTGTGCACCACCACACCCAGCTAATTTTTGTGGTTTTTTTAGAGATGGGGTTTCACCATTTTGCCCAGGCTGGTCTTGAACTCCTGGCCTCAGGCGATCCCCCTGCCTCCCAAACTGCTGGGATTATAGGCATTAGCCACCACGCCTGGCCTCAAAGCTATTTCATTTAAATAGCTAATAATAAATGGAAGGAGACATTAAAATTGGCTACCATATTTATGTCTTATATATTTGTATGTTATATTGTATTCTCACTTTTATCTCTTCTTCACTTTGATTTTTAAATTGAATAAATGCTAAAAAAATATGTTTCCAGAATAACTTGGTCAATTTTCCTTTTTATTTCATTACATGTTTAGAAAAAAAGAGTAATTCACAGAAAAGTGCAAGTAATTTAACTCCAGTAGGATGATACTTGAGATTTAAAAATAAATGCTAGATTATAAAGCAAGTTCTTCAATTGCTCATATTCTGCCAAAAGTAAAATAAAGGTGTCCTATAGTTATATCCATACAACTTTACCTGGTTTACTGGACTTACTGATCACAGCATAAAACAATTTAAATTCAGATAAATTTATTACTGTTCCAGTCTATACAAGGACAAAATAATACTTATTTCATGCAACGCAACTTTGGCATAATGGAGAAGTTAAATTAATTCAAAATAACTGAAGTTTACATTAAAGAACAAACAAAAATAATTAAGCGTTTAAAAATTATTTTTGTAAAGACTGTCCATATCTGCAAAGTAATGTACAGTGAAAAACCTTAGATCAACTGATTACCGGATTTAAACAGAATAGCCAAGGTGCAGAAGAAATTTCCTGATTCTTTTGAAAGATGGGGAGAAGCTGTAGGAAAACCAAAAAATATGTACATATTAAAGTATACTTGGATTTCTATTTATAGGGAGTAAAAGGGAGCACAGGAGACCTATGATGCTCTCAAAAGTCTTGATTTTGGGGAGAAATTTGGGGCTTATTTCAGATTCTGAGTTATTTTTTTTTTTAAAGATGATACCAGGCCGTGATTTAACAGTTTTATTTATTGAAAGGTTATGGCAAATTACATGAGATTTTTCTCTTTAATAATTATTTGTAAATAAGTTATTTTGACAAAATTTAATATTAGCATTTATGGATCATTACAATGTGCTAGGTAAGTAGCAACCAAATAAACAAAATAATCACTAGACGTATGGTGGTCACGAGAAGAAAAGGACCACAATTTTAGTGTGTTACTAATGTAATGAAATGCATGTTTATATACAATTTGTGAAAAACGAGTATACTAAATTTTATACTCATGGCTATTAGGAGGGCTTAGCCTAGTATAGTCAACCAGGAAGGACAAGGCAATTATAAAGTTAAATACAAAAATTTCAAACACTCCGGCCTTGCAAACATTAAGTTACATGGTAAAGACAGGCACAACGAATATTGAGAAATTCAAGAGTTCATATATTCACTTAAATGTTCCATTAAAAAGATGTTAATTTAAGGATTTCATTAAAATATAATTTATTTTTATCCTAATTGAGTAATTTATGGTCACAGAAAGATTAATCACCAATAGATCAAATATAGAGAAAACCCATGCTCAATATCCAGTATAACTAAAAATGTTAAGTGCAATTAATAGCGATAAAAAAGGGACAAATTTAGCTCTATCAGGGACATGCGTAGATTTGAAATTGTGGTATGAGTATTTAGATAACTAGACAATTTTTTAAAATAAAGGCATTGCAATGGGAAGTTTGACAAAACTAATAAACGGTTCACTAAACTAAATACAACACTTAACTGAATACAAAGCTATTCCTGAAGTTGGGGTTTTCCTTAACTTCCCTCCCGGTGTCCTGGACCAAGAGATTAGGAAATATTGGCTTCAGGAACTTGAACTCACCAGTCCCAGAGTCTCCTGTCAGACACACCTCGTACTGGTAGCTCTGGGACAGGGTCTCGGTGCCGCTCACGCCCACCTGATGCCCTGGAAAGGCGCCCTCGGGCACCGAGCAGTGACCCACAGAGGCCGCCCTGCTCCTACTGCACAGCCGCACCGCCACGAACAGGAGCACCGACAAAAGGAAGAGCGACGACACCGAGGCCAACGCCACCACCAGGTAGATGGTGAGCGAGTCGTTCTGGGCCTGGGCCGGGGCCGCCTCCGGGAGCGGCAGGTAGGGCTGGGAGAAGCCATCCACCAGGAGCACGTGCAGCGTGGCAGTGGCCGAGCGCGGAGGCTCGCCATTGTCCTTGACCAGCACCACCAGCCTGTGCTTGGCCGCGTCGCGCTCGCTCAGCAGCCTGGAGGTGCGCACCTCGCCATTGTGCGCCCACACGCCGAACAGCCCAGGCTCGCTGGCCTTGAGCAGCTGGTACGACAGCCAGGCGTTCTGGCCCGAGTCGCCGTCCACCGCCACCACCTTGGTCACCAGGTAGCCCGGCTCGGCCGCCCGGGGCACCAGCTCGGTGCAGGGCGCGGAGCCATTCTGCAGCGGGTGCAACACGAAGGGCGAGTTGTCGTTGGCGTCCAGCACCAGCACGCGCACCAGCGCCTCGCTGCTCAGCTCCGGGGAGCCGCGGTCTGCAGCGCCCACGCCGAACTCGAACGCCTGCAGGGCCTCGTAGTCCAGCGACCTGAGGGCAAACAGGTGGCCGTTGTCCGCGTTGATGGAGACCAAGGAGGCGAGGGGCAGGTGCGGGTCCTGGGGCGGCAGCAGCAAGTATGTGACTTGGGCGTTGGTACCTGAGTCTCGGTCTGTGGCGCTGACACTGCCGATGTGCAGGGCGGGGCTGTTGTTCTCACGGACGAACAGGGTGTAGGAGGTTTGAGTGAAGGTGGGGGCGTTGTCATTGACGTCGGAGACCTGCACGGTTATGCTCTGCTGGGTTTTCAGCCTGGGTGTCCCCAAATCAGTGACGGTGATGGTGATGTTGTACTCAGCTCTGGTCTCTCTGTCCAGTGGTCTCTCTGTTACCAGGGTGTAAAAATTCTTCAAAGTTGGTTTTAGAACAAACGGTAGATTATCTGGAATAGAGCAAATCGTCTTTCCATTTTCTCCGGAATCTCTATCTCGAATTCGGAAGATAGAGACTACCGTCTCAGGAGCATTTTCTGGGATGGAGCTGGTGAGTGAAGATATGATAAGTTCTGGGGGATTGTCATTCACATCCACCACTTCTATGACTACAGTGCCTTTCCCAGAAAGGCCTCCTCCATCTGTGGCCTCAATTTCTACATGGTAAGATTTAATTTTTTCGAAATCCAATTTTTTTTTCAGTAGTATTTCTCCCGTGACTTCATTTATTGAGAAAGTTTGTTTAATTTCATCTGATGCTTGGAATAAGCCATAAGAAACACTCCCAAAGTTTCCAGCATCTACATCTCTAGCTAAGACCCTAACAATTGGAGAGTCTAGGGGGCTGTTTTCCAGGACCTGCACCCCATATGGAGTGTGCACAAACTCAGGAGCATTGTCATTGATGTCCATGATCAGGATTCGAACCATGACAGTGCCAGACCTAGGTGGAGACCCACCATCCAGCGCCACGAGGGTTAAGCTGAACTCAGATTGCTCCTCTCGATCCAGTGGTTTGTCCTGCACCAAATCTGGGTATTTCTTGCTCTCACTATGATTTCGAGTGAGAATGTGAAAATGAGAATTGGGGCTGATTGTGTATTTTTGGAGACCATTGCTGCCCACATCCAAATCCTCAGCTATTAGCAACGGAAATAGAGTCCCCGGCTGACTATTTTCTGGTATTTTCAAGAGCACTTCCCTTTCAGGGAATACTGGAGAGTGATCATTTATGTCCTGGATCAATAATTCTCCTTGAAAAAATTGCACGGGCATTTCCAGGAACACTTGGAAATGCAGTATACACGGTTCAATAGGACCACAGAGCTCTTCCCGGTCTAGTTTCTCCCTCAGAAACAAATCTCCAGTCTGACGATCCAGCTGCAAACGCTGCTTGTCATCGTCAGACACCACCCCGGCTGACCGGGCGGCCAGTTCTGCAATTCCCAGGCCCAGATCCTTGGTCAGATGAGCTACAAAGGAGCCGCTCTCTGTTTCCTCCAACACAGAATAACGAATAGGCTCAAGGTGAACCTGAGACAAGAACACCATCAAAATAAACGCCAACACTTGCCTGTTTGGATGAATTCTCCCTAGCTTCTTCATGTTGGAGTCCAGGTCCTTATATCCAATCCCTTCAGCAACCACAACAAGACTTTAGACATTCAATTCTAAAATCTTGCTTGGAGGAATTATCACACAGTTGCTTTTAATATTAAATTTGTTTAGTATATCGCTGCCCCAAGCCGTTGATAAACCTGCACTGCTTGCAACGCTTCTTCCGTGTGTTTTTTATTGCGTCTAAGCGACACAAAAGAATAAGCGAGCGTTTTAGGACTCTTTATTCACAACTTAGCCTGCAGCGCCACCCTGCGTCTTGACTGAGAAATTAACAACTTCAAGACAGCGTATTTGGGAAGTTTTCAAATGAAAGCCATTTTTAACTGTACAGAATTTTTACAAACTTTGTTATTACATTAAACTGCATAATTTAAAAGGTTATTTCATTACAGTGCATGAACCAGAATAATCATGAGCACAAATCAAGAAGATATCTCAGTCTCCCCACACCCTTATCAGTGAAACTTCAAAGAACTCCATTTCTTTACATAATCCAACCACAGGAGACAAATTTTTATACACTTCCAATTCAATTCATAATAGTTACATATATTCTTTTTAAGAATGTGAGAACTTTGTGATGATGCAAAAGTTTAAGATGTTCTCTATACATGGTCTAAAGGGGGACTACTTTGAAATGATAGGTTCTATTTTCCTACTTTAACGTGCAAATAGTAATACAGGTGAATAAACAGGTATCTTATTTTGTATCAAGTAATTTACGGTGTGAACCTACACTGAACCTAGGAGTAAGGCAAATAGTATTAGAATCACAGATTCTTATAACTAAAAAGGAAATAAAAGATAAGGAAACTGAAACTGAAGCTCAGAGGGTGACAGGACTTGATTATTCTACATGACTATTATATGGATAATGTCAAGACAAAAGTGAGTCACAGTCACAGAATTTTGTGAAGATAAAGGTTTTAAGCTGAACTTATTTAGTGAGATAGATGTAATCTATATTTTATAATGAGTTTGCCTGTTACCACACTCACCTTTTGTATCCCAGATATCTTATTCCTTGACCAGCTAATTTTGGGGGAAACAAGAAGCACTGATATAAAATATTTTATTCTGTGACCAAAGGGTGACTTAGGCTGTCTCTACTCAGACATGGTGAAGTAAAGAGACGTGTATATAAAATGGATCCCACCACAGCATGCAGCTACTGTGATTACTCTCCAACAATAAGAAAGAATGGTACCACTGAGACACAGTTAACCAATTTATTGGTTGCAATTAATATATTGAATGGAGCACCACTTATCTTGCCACATATAAGATTTTCTCCCCTTAAATATCTTGTTATTTTATTTAATTATCCAACTCATATAATGATAATTTATAATTCATGTTAAATGAATTATTTTTAAAGCATGAAATCTGAGATTTCAGATTCTGATAGTGATAGAAAGTATTAGTAAAAATTATTTTTGAAGGATATATGGATTTTATTTAGTAAATACCGGTTGAATTAATAAATTAATCCACTCAAATGATTTTTTTTTTTTTTTTTTTTTTTGAGACGGAGTCTCTCTCTGTCCCCCAGGCTGGAGTGCAGTGGCCGGATCTCAGCTCACTGCAAGCTCCACCTCCCGGGTTCACGCCATTCTCCTGCCTCAGCCTCCCGAGTAGCTGGGACTACAGGCGCCCGCCACCGCACCCGGCTAATTTTTGTATTTTTTTAGTAGAGACGGGGTTTCACCGGGTTAGCCAGGGTGGTCTCGATCTCCTGACCTCGTGATCCGCCCGTCTCGGCCTCCCAAAGTGCTGGGATTACAGGCTTGAGCCACCGCGCCCGGCCTCAAATGATGTTTTTATCTATATAAGTAGATTATTGTCAGAACATATATTCAGCCATGAACGTGTCTGAAATTGAATACAGAATTTTGAGAATATAATACATGCTAAGCATTATATAACTCAATTTACTTTGATTATATTTCCATTAATTACTATAAGGGATATATCAATGGCGGTAATAATATTAACATCTTAGAATTTTCTTTCACATTTAAAGTAAATCAGAAGGCCGGGCGCGGTGGCTCAAGCCTGTAATCCCAGCACTTTGGGAGGCTGAGACGGGCGGATCACGAGGTCAGGAGATCGAGACCATCCTGGCTAACACAGTGAAACCTCGTCTCTACTAAAAAATACAAAAAAATAGCCGGGCGAGGTGGCGGGCGCCTGTAGTCCCAGCTACTCGGGAGGCTGAGGCAGGAGAAAGGCGTAAACCCGGCAGGCGGAGCTTGCAGTGAGCTGAGATCCGGCCACTGCACTCCAGCCCGGGCAGCAGAGCGAGACTCTGTCTCTAAATAAATAAATAAATAAATAAATAAATAAAGTAAATCAGAAAGATACACTATGCATGACTATTAAATGAAAAACAATAAAAATACACATTGAAAAGAATAAAAACAAAGAATATTATTTTAGACATAACTGGAAAACAAATCTCCTGGGCAAACCAAAGAGAAAATTGTTTCTAATATAGTAACCAGATTTTAGTTAGATTCAATTTAATGCATTCAGGACAAAATTCAAACCATATTTTGTTTACTTATTCCTATCTGTTGACGTAGAGTAAGAATTGGGTCTTTTCAGTTCCTTTTGCAATCCAAAAGTAAATGAAATCTCAATAACATTAACATATGTGACCACTATACACCAGATATTATTCTAAGCATTTTACACATATTGACTCATTTTATCACCCCAACAACCCTATGAGGTGGGCAGTCTTATGAGCCACATTTTTAAAGATTAAGAATTATGGCACACAGAGTTTAAATAATCTGTCCAAAGTCATACAGCATGTGAAATGGCAGAGCCAGGATTTAAACTGTTACCATGTGGCTCCAGAAACCATTCTTTTATATGCCTAAGTAGAGCTGGAGAGGTGAACAACTTTTTAGATAATTTAGATCCCAACTTCAGCCTTGCCTGGGGTACATGGTATGAAATATATTTATATTCAAGTTTTCAATTATTATTAGAAACTTAAAAATTATTTGTCTCCCTTTAGAGACAGTTAGTTACCAGTAGAGAGAGATATTTATACAACTTACACATTGGAAGGAAAACTAATACTCAACATTTTTGTTGCAATCATTAATCAGGTGAAAAAATTAAGAGTGACATAATGAATTACTTATAGCCTTAAATATTGGGGAAAAAGAAGTATAGATCTTTTGAAAAGTTGTTTAGGTTCTGATAAATAGTTTAAAGTTACAATCAAGAAGGGTGGCCTAGAAGAATGGCCTAGCATATTATGCCATAGTTTATTTCCCTAAACTGCCATATTTATGAGAAAAGAAAGATCTATTATACTTGAATGGAGGATAAGCTAATTATATAAGATAAGCTAATGATATAAAGAATGAACACCTGAAAACTATTTCATCCCAGTCAGAAAAGCTGTATTATCCATTCTGAAGGATTCATATGACTATTTACATAATTGGTTGCCAGATCTGAAGCATGATATTTAATTTTTTTCATTTTAAATATACCAAGAAAGATAAAATAGAGGGATACGCAGGAAACTAGTTGCTTTCTGGTAAAATATAGGCAAGAACCTTATCACTGAAAAAAGATAAAAATCATTTTAAAGAAATTTTAGGCCGGGCATGGCAGCTCATGCCTGTAAATGCCAGCACTTTGGGAGGCCAAGCAGGAGGATCACTTGAGCCCAGGAGTTTGAGACCAGCCTGAGCAACACAGCAAGATCTTGTCTCTCAAACAAAAAAAAACAAAAAACAAACAAAAAAAAAATTATACCAGTGGTGGCATGCACTGGTAGTCCCAGCTACTTGGGAGGCTGAGGTGGGAGGATTGCTTGAGCCTGGGAGATTGAGGCTTCAGTGAGCAATGATTGTGCCACTGCACTCCAACCTGGGTGACAGAGTGAGACTCTGTCTCAAAAAAATAAAACCAAAAACTACTAAAATAAATAATTGAGTTCTGCAAGGTTGCAGGATACAAGATCACTATGTGGAAATCAATTGTATTTCTATACAGTAGCATTGAACAAATGAAAAATGAGATCAAGAAAACAATTCAATTTATAATAGATATCATCAAAAGGAATAAAATGCTCAGGAATAAACTTAACAAAAGAAGTGGGAGAACTGAACACTGAACACTGCAAAACATCATTGAAACAAATTAAAGATGATCTAAGTAAATGAAAAGTGTTCATAGATTGGAAGACTTAAGATTGTTAAAATATTGGTACCTTTCAAATTGCTCTACAGATTTATTGCAATCCCTATCAAAATTTCAGCTGGCTTTTTTGCAGAAATTGGTAAACTGACCCTAACATTCACATGAAAATTCAAGGGACCCAGAATACAATCTTGGGAAAAAAGGAACAAAATTGAAAAGCCCACAGTTTCTAATATATATGTGTGTGTGTGTGTGTGTGTGTGTATGTATGTGTGTGTGTGTGTGTGTATATATATATATATATTTTTTTTTTTTTTTTGAGATGGAGTCTCGCTCTGTCGCCCAGGTTGGAGGGCAGTGGTGCGATCTCGGCTCACTGTAAGCTCTGCCTCCCGGGTTCACACCATTCTCCTGCCTCAGCCTCCTGAGTAGCTGGGACTACAGGCGCCCGCCACCACGCCCAGCAAAAATTTTTTTTTTTTTTTGTATTTTTAGTAGAGACGGGGTTTCACCATGTTAACCAGGATGGTCTCAATTTCCTGACCTCGTGATCCGCCGACCTCGGCCTCCCAAAGTGCTGGTATCACAGGCATGAGCCACCGCGCCCGGCCCACATTTTCTGATTTTAAAGATGTATTCTAAGTTATATATCACATATTTGAGTATTTTGATATATTAACACAAATACTATTTTTATTCTAGAAAAAATTATCAGAAATTATCTTAGATTCCATCACAAATTTCTCAAGTCAAACTCTAATTATTCAAGTATCTCCGTCCTACATTTACATTTCAGTGAGTGTGACTTTAAAAATATCTTACAGGTTTAAGTTTGGAAGGTTGGCTAATGTAAAATTTACTTTGCTTTCACCACTGAGCACTATTGTTTGCTTTACAGCTATTTCATTCAAACGGTCAGCTGATGTATCTAATGTACCTATTTAATAGAACATTCCAGGAGATCATTCCTTTTATAAGAATTTCCAATAAATTCCACAAACCATTGATATGAACCATTTATTATTGATAGCTTAACATTTTGAAATAGGGCTATTGGAAATATGATTTAAGGCAATAATAGTCAAAATTTAATAATTATTTCACCCTTTATCTCTCTCAAAAATTAATGTTTAATTTTCCTCTATTCCTCCCTTTCAAAGTAAGAACAAAACCATCCTCAAGTCATGGTGAAGTTTTAAAAATACTCTTTCATTTTTAAAATAGACTATTCAAAATAGTACAAATTTAACATTTTTAATTTTAGGACTACGTATCTTTAAATCTCTTTTTAAATCTTTTTTTCTTTTTTGAGACAAGGTCACACAGGCTGGAGTGCAGTGACACAATCATAGCTCACTGCAGCCTCGAGTTCCTGGGCTCAAGCAATCTTCATGCCTTGGACTGCTGAGTAGCTGGAATTACAGGTGCAAGCCACCACATTCAGCTAATTTTTTTAAAAAAAATTGTAGGGATAGGGTCTTGTTATGTTGATCATACTGATCTTGAACTCCTAGCCTCAAGCATTCCTTCCACCTTGGCCTTCCAAAATGCTGGGATTACAGATATGAGCAACTGCAACTGGCTCATTGCTTGATTTTAACATGCTGAACCAACCTTGCATTCCTGAGCTAAATCTCACTTGGCCATGGTGTGTAATCATTTTTATGTGATACTAGAGTCAGTTTGCTAACATTTTGTTGAGAATGTTTGCATCTATATTCATAAGGGAAATTGGTATGTATTTTTTTTGTTGTGTTATCACTGTCTGGTTTTGTCATCTCATTAATACTGGCCTCTGTAGAATGGAGTTGACAAGTGGTCCCTGCTCCTCTATTTTTTGAATGAGTATATCAAGTACTGTTGTTAATTCTTCTTTAAACATTTCGTAGAATTGACCAGTGAAGCCATCTGGTCCTGAGCTTTTCTTTGTGGAAAGTTTTTGATTACTGGTTCAATCTCTTATTACAGGTCTATTCGGGTTTTTTGTTAGGTTGGTGTAAAACTAATTGCGTTTTTTGCCATTGAAAGTAATGGCAAAACCACAACTACTCTTGCACCAACCTAGTATTTCTCCTTAGTCAGTTTTGGCAATTTCAGGTCTATTCACGTTTTCTATTTCTCCTTAGTCAGTTTTGGCAATTTCAGGTCTATTCACATTTTCTATTTCTCCCTAGTCAATTTTGGTAGTTTGTGTTTTCCATTTAATCTAGGGTTTTTTTTTTCCCGTTTCATCTAGGTTTTCTCATTTGTTGGCTTAAAATTGTGTATAGTATTCCCTTATAATTTCCTTTAAGACCTGTGAAATAGGTCATACTTTTCCCT